GTTCCACGCGGGGGAGGAAGGGAGATCGGGGGAGTGGGAGGGGTTACGCAGCAGAGGGGGGGGGGGCAGCGGCGACGGCGTGGTGGGATCGATCCCGATCCCATCTGGATCGGGTGGGGGGAAGTGGGGCGACGGGGAGAGTTGCGCGTAGGGGTTAGGGTTTCGGGGGCGTGGGGGGTTAAGGTGGCGGGGTGGGCCTTGGCCCAGTTGGGCAGGCCAGCTGGGCCAGAGCCCAGCGGGGGTGCTGTTTCCTTTTTTTTAGTTTTGGTTTTCTGTTTTTCTAACCTCTTATCTTTTATTTCTTTTTCTTTTCTGTTTTATTTTAATTTTGTAAAAATATAATTTCAACTCCTAAATTTAGCATTGCCACTAAACCCACTGCCATAAAAAGATTTACCCTAAACACAATAGTTTAGTATTTTACATAATACAAAAGGCATTTAATTTAATTGTTTTATCTACAGTTTTATTCATCTTATAGTATTATAAATATTTTATAAAAGTGTGGTTTCTCCACCATAACTACCTACGCATTATTTGGCACAACCCGAACATTTTAGTTTTATTGTTTGAAATTTTTTGTTGTTTGCTTATATTTTAAATTTGAATTTGAATCAGTTTCGAACTAACTCGAGATTAGCAACTATAATCGAGGTGACATGGCATCATTAGTAGAGGATCACTGTAGCTTAATTATCCGGGCGTCACAAAGAGTGACGAGGATTTATTTTTGAAATAGTTTCGTTAATATTGGAAATAGTTTCAAGAGAACCGAAAGCGTATCGGGGTCACTGGAAGGGTTTCAGAGTTTATCGGGCAATATCGAATATTAGCGATAAATAATATATAGGTGCAAAATGTTTCTGAAGATGTTAATTAATAATAAAAAGCTCTAGTAATTGCTTTTTTAGAATTAGCTCTTGGTAATTGTTAGTCATTCGGCAAATGTTGTTGCTCATAAATTAGCAAAGGTAGGCGTAGTGAAAGCATTATGTAAGTGTGGCTAATGATGCCATCAGATTTTATCTTAGAGGTGGTCTCTGATGAGATCCTAGACTATTCTTTTTAGTTAAATAAAGCATCAACTTATCCTAAACAAAAGCTATTTCTTTCGGTTCATATTGATAGCTGCTTGTGTTTTCTTTGGTCCTTGCACTGTTCTATTTGCACCATGTATCTTTCACCTGAGGTTGTTTCGCCTCAGTTTATTTTTATCTCTTTTTCTGCTACTTGTATGTGGTTTGTCGTTGTAATTCTGGCTGATTGATGACTTTATTAATGCAAAGTCAAGCTAGGTTCGAGTCTTTTTTCAGGCTCGACAATGTCTTTTTTTAGAAAAGAAAAGAGAAAATACACAATAATTTTATTTATCAACTATAGTCGACAGAATGTACATAGTACTAGAAAAAAAAAATCATGGGAGCATGTGCAACGAGTTATTGTAAGCATCGAGGCATCAACTGCTTTACCCTGCAGTGAAGCATGGTATAATTGCTTTTGTATTGTTAGTTTTTTTGTGGGGTATATATTGTTAGTTATTAGTAGCTAAAACAAACAATCGACCATTGATGCACCAACCACGAGCATTCTCTAACGGTCAAACAAAAACAGCAAAGAAAACCAATAAAACCAACTACAAACCAATATATTTCTTTTGGTGCACATCATCCCCATTTTCGCCATCTTTGTCGTCGATCCTTTCAACACGCTTTCTTTTCCGTGTAGCCGCCCTCATCCACCCCCTCCTCGTAATTGTTGTGTATGGCGCTACTATCGCCGG